TCTCTATGTATATATGATCTTTGGATATGTTCAATGCACCTAACCTTATTAACCATCTCCTCTTTAAAATAGTTTCCCATTTTCGGGAAATTATTTATGAAACTGTGTTTGTTCCATCCAGTCTGAAAGACTAAGAAGCAAAGTGATCCTTAGATTTGTTGTGGTTTTCAGTTCATCTTTGTGTAGAATTATCCTTAAAATCCCCCAAAGTAATTTAAAAATGAGACAGTCCCAGTGAAAATGTGTTCAGTGTATGGTTTGCTCATACTTTCTATCTAAAAATGAGGATGTGAAGACAGGCAGCTGTGACACAATCACCATTGTTAACATAAGGATAAGGAACTACAGTATAAGGTCACTATACAGTCAAATGTTAAACAAACCAGAACTAGTGCCATCTCAGATCTGTGTGCTGTTGTTATTGTTTGTTCAGAGTCTGATGCTGCTGTTGACCTTTGTTCATATCCTGATACACTGCCCTCACTGGTCATGAGCTTATTGCATCTTGCATATAGCATTCATATCTTAGGATCTGCTCCACCGTATTCTGAAAGATCACAGGACACCCAAGCTATGGTAAATATATATCAGAAGCTTGACTGTTGCCCTCAATCTAGCATCTTTTATATGATACGATTATAAAAATATAAAAATAACAGAACCATATATCTGTGACATTATTTTTAATATTGAGGAGCTTCGCTAGCAGTGCTTTGTTTGAAGTATCTATAATTCCAAGGCATAATCGAACTGCCGCTTAATGTAACGAAGTTTGTCTGTAATTTAGCCATGTTCCAGCTCCTATTTTTTGTTTTAATGAGACATTTGATGAGGTTTTTTTATTCTAATACTAAGACTACAATAGATGAGGATGGAGGGTAGTATTTTAATATGCAAAACGCCTATTTGCAAGCAGCGCAAGCACGTGTGTGGGTGTGTCCAAGCATGTGTGTGTGTGTGGTTCGTGTGTCAGGTGACTAGCCCTGGGCTGATGAGGAGAGGCATGTGGTCGCCATTTAGAAGGATTAGGACTGTCAGGGACATCAACCACGACTAATTATTCTGTTAGTACACTACAGGGATGTGTGTGTGTGTGTGTGTGTGTGTGTGTGTGTGTGTGTGTGTGTGTGTGTGTGTGTGTGTGTGTGCGTGCGTGCGTGCGTGTGTGTGTGTGTGTGTGGCTGCAGGCATGGAAAAGATGGAGGGAGAGTAAAGCTGGAAAAAAGAGAAAGAGAAAGATGGAAGACAGATGGAAATGAATAAAGCCAGACAACAGAGAGAAGGAGAGGAGCACTGAGAGCTACTGTTAATACCCAGAGAGAATACACTGTCTGAAAGATGGATTGATAGGAACAGAGTAGAAAAACCCTGTGGTGAAGTTAGATGAAGGTATGGAGATTGGAAAGAAGAGTAAGAGGGAGATGTTAAAAAAGGAGGAATGAGAGGGAGAGAAGAGGGGTGACCTATCTCATGCCTTCATGGATGACTGCATTTGTATCCAAACATCCCAACATGCACTGCTCTGCCACTCGGGGCGAAATCCGCCTGCAGCACCCAATCAGCCGTGGCCTTTTACCACCTCGCCGTGGGGCAGAGTGTGTGCAAGCTGAGTAAGTGAGTGTATTTGTGTTTGTGTGTGTTTGCATGTGTGTGAGTTCAAGCGTGAGGGCGCACACACATCTGTTAATGTGTGTGTGTTTATGGATACAGAACTCTGCACTACACTGCCTCTCTGATTTATCTTCAAACAGACAGCTCAGCCATCTCGTCTCCTACACCTCCGCTTCTCTCTTCCTCTTTCCTCTACTCTCCATCGCTCTGATGCTTACCGCCAATCCATCCATCCTCCAAATATTTCACCTCTCCTCCCTTCCCTTAATCCATCTCTTCTTCCAATCATTTTACTCCTCCATCCATTTCTTCATGCTTCTCTATATCCATCCCTCCATCTGCATTTACTTCCCCGCGGGGAAGACAATTTCCTGAATCCCACTGAAGTGGAAATATTTCACATTTAATACTTCCCCCACTCTTGTGATGTGCCCAAGCTTCAGAGGAAGGGGTTCAAAGGAGGAGAGGAAAGAAGAAGAAGGTGAGGAGAGATTTTTGATGAGTAGATGGATGGAAACGTTGGTGGCATTACCTTTATCAAAACATGTCTGTCAGTCTAAATCTTTCAGAAAGTAATTTCTCTGGAAGCCTAAGAAGCTTTAGGTTAATGTTTTAGCATGCTAATAATTTGATCTTTTTGGTCACATGTAGAGTAACATAGACGGTAAAGCTTAGTTAGTGGCTTTCACACCTTTCACAATGTTTCTTTTTAATTGTTCATAACCATAGCTTTCATTAGCACCATCTGAATATCATGTGAAAAAACAGGAAATTGCACTTTAGATGTGAAGTTTTTGTCGTTTCTCAAATCACTGACAGACAATTACCAAGAAGATATGCTTGTTGCTAGGTAATACGAACACTTTTAAAAGTAGATGAATGACTGTGGAGTAGCTGGCAGGACTTGATCATAACAACATATTTGAAAACACTCAGGCCAAAGATTTTCACAGCATAACAACAATAAAAAGTGAGAATCTGTCGTTGGTTGGAGTGGACTTTCTTTAGAGTCTCTACACTGATAGTGCTGAGGTTGACCAGACGACTATTACCTTGACAGCCATCAGTCAGAGGCGAGACACATGGTGTGGGTGTGATAGTTATTAATGAGTGCATGGGACTTACAGCGTACATCCATCAACAGTCACAAACATAAATGAACAAGCAACAGAGGAGCGTAAGGGAGGTGATGTTTCTCTGACAGTCTTACACAATAAAGTGACAGCAGCTTTCTGACTAAAAACACTTCTCCACCTTTTTTTTATGTACTCTTACTTCTCATAAAGTTCCATCCCCACCTTCCCATCCCTGTTCCCTTCCATTCGTTATTTCCCTTCTGCTTCATCACTCCTTCCCTTCCCGTGTTATGTCAAAATGAAAATAATGTGATTTGTTGACTCTTTGATTCTTATTTACGGTTGCAACCACAGACTTTATGTATACCTTCGAGGGTTAAGCTGAGTACAACCTGAACACTGACAAGAGTTTTACGCCACAAAATTGTTAAAATTGACTGTTACTGCCAGACAAACATCTGCATCTAATGCAGGATGAATGGCAGTCGTGGAGAACAGTCGCATTTCGCTTTATGATCAGTTCAAGCTAAATACAGTAAATAATTGCATCTTCTTCCTATAAGTTTGTTCTTAAAGCATGCTGGGAGCTATAAGCAATCAGCCAAATTCAATTCATAGGGATATCACCAGAAAGTACAGCCATTTATTCTAGCTGTACAGGGATTTATAACTACCCCAAGGTTCAAACATGAACTGCATATTGGATGTCCTTTTATGAAAAAATTGTACATTAGGAAGTGCAACACACTTCAGTATTATATGGGTGAAAAGACTGCAGAACACAATTAAACATTCAAATAGAGCCATAGAGAGTCTGTTAAGAGTATATTTAGCTTGAAAGCCTTTTTGTTTTGATTTTTTTATCTTATTGACTTTTACATATGGTGTAAAAGGGTTATTACCAGAGCACGTAATATGTTTGATTTAGGTTCATAACTGATGCATTATGTTTTGACACACAAACTATGGATGCAGGTCTGTATCTTGAGTTTGCTTGATTTCCTCTTGGCTATGCTTGCCTCTTACTCATTCAGTAGGCACAATGTTTGATTAAGTCAAAAGTGTATTCACTTCTGTAACATCTTGAGTTCTGGTTTGATGAAGATGGAATGGGTATTAGAATATATTTATCACAAGGTTCAGCCTGTAAGGTATAACACAATATTGATACCTTCTGATTTTTGAAATCGTCTGTCTGCCAGTACCGGGCAGCGTTTAAAGCCTGGTGCTTACTGCTCTCTGTTGGTCAGTATGTTGAATTACACTACAAGTGAATGGCAGTCAACTGGGTTCCTATCCCTCAATGCCATTCATCAGTGTGTTCATGCAAACAAATGTGATAATGATGAACTCTCATTGCTCCCATGTGACTCCCCTCACTTAATGTTCGTCAACAATATGCCTCTATCTTGTTTATGTTAGTTTGTGTACTACTTATTCTGTCACATGCTTGCCGTAAATAAGAAATGGGAATAAAGAACACACAGAATCAAAGGAAAAGTATTTTCTTTTTATCTTTTTCGATGGTAGATTTGGATTTGAAAGAATGAAAGGCAGAATAGAGAGCTAAACGATGCAGAGAAAAAAGGGAAACAAAGACAAAAAGTAGAGACAATTAATGTCAAATTATGGGAGCATGCATGGAGCATGCCAAGCACATTAGCTACCAAAGCTGAAAATTAATCATCATCTTGCGGCTGTCAACGGGTAATATTCACATCTGTAATTGGGACAAAGTGATAACCAATGGGGCATTTCAAGTGTGTGTGTTTGCTATGAGAGAGAGCATTTTTATATTCTCTTTACAGTCGAGAGGTTACAGCAGGTGGCATTTGGCACATTGTGGATACGTCTACTTTTTACACCAACTAAATATCACTGCAACAGATTTCAATGCATTAATTAGCACCTTGTTAAGTGCATTGGAGAAAATAAATGTATAAATGAGTGGCATGGTGTTAAATTAAACTGAAAACTGAATCTGGAATCATTTATCCATTTACTTATTAATATCTGTTTTCTTGGTCTTTATATTGTAATTCTATCGAACTGATTACAAATACACAACCCCGTCTGTGGTTATAGCCTACTGTATGTTATGGTAGTAAAGGGTGAGGGTAAACTGATAAGACACACATACCTCCTAATTTCATGCAAGAAATGTCAAATCTGTTCGTGAAAAATCAGTTGTTAAATCAAAGTCATAAAAGTAGGATAATAAATCACTTAATAGCCGGAACGATAGCAGTTTATGATATGAACTCAAACCCCTTTCCTATGGTACGCATGCGCAGCGCGCCATTAAAGGAAACAGTGTGAGAAGTGCATGAAGTGGCTCGGGACCTATGCTCGGGACTTGACACAAAATCTGAGATTTGACTTGATCCGCGCTCCAGTTTTAAGGATGTAAAGCTACAGGTTGCGGACAAGGACTTAATTAAGCATGTTTTTGTAAACAGCTTCCAGAATTGATGAAGATAATCCAGGAATTCTACAGGATCTGCACACCCTACCGCTCGCCCCGTCGGTAACTTGGGACAGAGGCAGGGCTCTGCTGCTAGCTGCTACACCAGCTAAGCTAAGGTAGCGTAAAGTGCTAATGCTAGCTATTTACAAAGCCTTATGTCGTTATTAATTGAGGGAACTTATACCAACCAAGGGTTTCCCAGTAAAACTGTACTTTGACATTACATATCGACCTGTTCGTGCCGCGGCGTCCCTGCTCACCTCCTATTAGCATGCTATATTTGCTACTGTGATATCAACATGAATCGGTGCTAGCTGATATGTTTAGTAGCAGGAAGCTAGTCAAGCTCACATCAAGCTAACCGAATGAACGTCTGTTTCCGGTCAAAAACCGAAAGCGAGCAGTACAAGTGTTTAACTTGTGAAATTCATTTGACAAGAAATATATAAATATGTTGGCCAACATATATTGCACTAAGGTTTGATTAGTATTGCGTTTGAGACGTTTGGAACTTTTTTGTTGTATTCCTACAAACAACACCTACAATAAACTAAAGTACTTAAATGGTTGACTATTAGTACATGCTATGTAAAAGGTGTAGGTATAATACGTTCAAGCTTCAGCCTATACTCGTTAATAAGACGTATTTGGGCATAACATGTCAATTAATTTACTATCACAGACTAAAATGACACTATGTGTATAACTTGTAATAGTTATCTAATGTCATGGGGTTTAGGTTCTTCTCGAGCTCAACAGTTCTTATTAAAAGCACATTTGTGATTGTTGTTTTACATATTGAAAAAAATTGTTGCGTTTTGTTAAAATGTTAGCTTTTATTTTGAAGAGGAGGGTTGTTTACTTCCGGTGAGTTGTGTCCGTATGCAGTAACTTCCCGGGGAGACGGCAGTCAGAGTGGCGCCGCTAGCTTCCTTCAAGAGCCACGCAAAACAACTTAACCCTAACTTATATCCTAGAATGAACAGTTCAGGGGTTTTAATCAAATTAGACACAGGTGCATACAATACTACTTCGTCAGGTGATGAGGTAATTGCTTAGCTAGCATGTTATTATACTGCTAAATATTATGTTAAATAGTTACAGTAGTGTTTTTGATTCATGCCTCTTGCCTGCTCCTCAGATTCAAATATAAATATCATGTTCATCGGTTTTACCTAAAAGCTGAAATGTTAACCAGAATTAATCGATAGGGTGGCAGTAAATTACAGCCTTTATCTAAAAAAATTACAATACATAAAACGCAGGCAATTTACAGCCTGACTTTCTTGGTCAGTTGCAAGTTCCTTAGATACTCCAACTAATACAACAGCAATACAACTTTTCATATTAGGCACATTTTATAATAAACATTTTTTTTATCATAATGAAATCTAACATCGGTGTCACGCTAAACAAATTAACAGCCCAACAAACTACAGCCTCATAAACGACTACAATTTTCAATCAACATACTTCTCAAACAGTTTGATAACAAATTTGCAAATTATCCTTTTTTCAGATTTTGTCCCCTTCCTTCCTGATGCTGGGGGTCTTGTGAGGACACACATCTTCCTCAACTGCAGCTGAATTGCTGTGAAGATAGTCTCTGCTGAGGCTTCCTGATTGAGTGAACCACATATAGATATATTCTTAGAAAGTGCAGTGAGAGAGAGAAGTCAAGATGTCTATCACCAACACACCTACCAGCAATGATGCCTGCCTGAGCATTGTGCACAGCCTGATGTGTCACAGACAGGGTGGTGAGAGCGAGACGTTTGCCAAGCGGGCCATTGAGAGCCTGGTGAAGAAACTGAAGGAGAAAAAGGATGAGCTTGACTCCCTCATCACTGCTATCACCACCAACGGGGCCCATCCCAGCAAGTGTGTGACCATTCAGAGGACTCTCGATGGACGACTGCAGGTAGGAACACACAGTCACCTGGATCATAGATTTAATAAACACAGGGTTATGAATAACATTTATTTTCTACACGTTTGTACATCTGGCCCAGGGCGTAAAGTTTGGTGGGCCAGATGCACTCGACCATTGTGTTTTGAATCTCGTCTGAACAAGCTGCTCTAGTGGAAAACGGGTTGCGTTCATTGACACTGCGTTTGACCTCAGCTGTAAGGGCAGTGAGTATACAAATTATTTAACGCTTTTTTCCTTTATTCTTCCTCTATCTTTTTGATTTTCGTTGTTCCCAGGTGGCAGGACGTAAAGGGTTCCCTCATGTAATCTACGCGCGGCTGTGGCGGTGGCCTGACCTGCATAAGAATGAACTGAAGCACGTCAAATACTGCCAGTTTGCCTTTGACCTTAAGTGTGACAACGTGTGTGTCAACCCCTATCACTATGAGCGAGTGGTGTCTCCTGGCATAGGTTAGTAATAGGGAAGCTTCCAGTTAGTTGTTTTTTAATTGGTAAAATGTTTATTGGGCTCTTCAGAACCTATTAAAACTAAACAGAACTTCAAAAAAACACTTTCTAAAAGATGTTGTTCTAGCTTACTGATCATTAAAATGTATGTAAAACGATAAAGAAAAGGCTGTTCAATGCAATTTTAATACAGTCTCTCTTAACTGTGACTCTTAAATAAAGAAGAGGACATTAACAAAATAAAAATTTATAATTATTTATTCAAATTGAAAACACAAGTTATTTTGTTCACAACTACTCTCTTTATTTATACATTTACTATTAGATAGTCTATTTGTATTTTTAAGCAAAAGTCAAACAGTTCATCGTTCCCTTTCTATTCATCTTTTTGTAAAACGCTGTGGGGCTGGATCACAGGTGTAAACTGTCCGTCACTAACATGTTCCGCCCTCCGATCCTGTTCCTCGTGCACAGACCTATCAGGACTGACTCTGACCAGTTCTGGCCCCAGCTCCGCTCTGATGGTGAAAGATGAGTACGACTTTGATGGTTCGCAGAGTCTGCCCTCCATCGACGGAGGGCACTCCATCCAGACCATCCAGCACCCCCCCTCCACCAGCCGCCCGGCCCCCTCTGAGCCCTTTGCCACTCCAAACCTTCTCCCCCCTGCTGAGGCCTCCACCTCCGCTTCTTCGTCAGCTTTTCCTGCCATTTCTGCTGGATCAGGAGGTTAGTACAGTTGTTCAATATTCCTTTATGCATCATGATGTCTGCATTTGTTTGTGCAATACAGTATGTGTGTGTGTACTTTGAAAGTTACTGTAAACATTTTACTGTACTCACTCAAAAAATATGTCTTCAGAAATAGAATGGATTAAGTCATTTCAATTTTTAAATCATGAGTAAAAGCCTAGTGTTCTTTGTTTTGTGAATTATTGATTCGGTTCTCTTTATCTGTATCTGACTTCTGTTGTCCTTTTCTCCTCAGGTGCCAGCGCCAACTGGTCGAGGAACAGCAACTTCAACCCCAACACACCCCACCACACAAACGGCCATCTACAGCACCACCCCCCCATGCCACATCCGACACAGTACTGTAAGTACACTGTCACTGCAGCTTCAAGTTCATCTAAAGACCTATAGATTGCATTTACTTCAAAGTGGGTGATCACTGACATTTCTCTCTGTTTCTCTCAGGGCCGTTGCATAATGAGCTCGCCTTTCAGCCTCCTATATCCAACCATCCAGGTGAGAACACAAAATCCAGAAGCGCATGGACCCTGGGCTATTTTTTCTTGGTGTTTTAGAAAACAGTGCGAATCAATTTGACTAACCGCGCATCCATCTTTACAATTTGATTCATAGAGTGATGTCCTTTTTTTCGCTATCATTCTTCATTGCTAAAGCAGTATTGCCCATTTCAACTGTTGCTTCAAGTGGGTGACTACATTAGATATAAAGCTTTGCTGGGTTTGATTGCCTCTGGGTCAACTGTTGATTGTCATTACATCAAATGTACAAGTTACTTTCAAATTATACATATAGTGCTGAAACAATGAAAATAATCGATTCAAAATATCCTTGTTTAATAATGTTTTTTACAAATGTATCAGTCATGACCGAAAGAACGAGATCGCGGATACAAGCGGACGAGATGGGTTTTCTCCGCAGGGTGGCTGGTGTCTCCCTTAGGGATAAGGTGAGAAGTTCGGTCATCCGGGAGGGACTCGGAGTTGAACCGCTCCTCCTTCGCGTCGAAAGGAGCCAGTTGAGGTGGTTCGGGCACCTAGTTAGGATGCCACCTGGGCGCCTCCCTAGGGAGGTGTTCCAGGCACGTCCAGCTGGGAAGAGACCAAGGGGTAGACCTAGGACCAGGTGGAGGGATTATATCTCTTCGCTGGCCTGGGAGCGCCTTGGGATCCCCCAGTCAGAGCTGGTTGATGTGGCCAGGGAAAAGAAAGTTTGGGGCTCTCTGCTGAAACTGCTACCTCCGCGACCCGACCACGGATAAGCGGGAGAAGATGGATGGATGGACAAATGTATCAAATGAAAACGTGGCTTGTTTGTCTTCATTTCTGTACTACGAAAATATACCTTTTTTATAAATAGCTTGACAAGGAAAAATGTTAATTCCTGAAATGAAACCGTTGACATTAGTTTCCTCCCTTCTGTTTCAGCTCCTGACTACTGGTGCTCCATTGCCTATTTTGAGATGGACGTTCAGGTCGGGGAGACGTTTAAGGTCCCCTCTTCTTGCCCCATCGTGACAGTGGACGGCTATGTGGACCCCTCAGGAGGAGACCGCTTCTGCTTGGGTCAGCTCAGCAATGTTCATCGCACTGAGGCCATTGAGAGAGCAAGGTAGCAACCATAATAACTTTCAACAGTGCACGCTTGCTGCTATTGTAGGCCTATAAGGTCTTAAATGTAACTAGATGGGATCTAAAAATGAATGCTCTACTGTTGTGTTCACTTCAAATAATCAAGAGATGTACCACTTAACAAGAACAACCTTGTCTGTTTTTCTGTTTAGACCCAGCATGTTCTGTTCTGTGTTTTGTGTTTCCCTCTGTATAAGCGTCCTTGGGTTTATGAAAGGCACTATATACATTTAGGTTGTTATTTTTACATCAGTCATTTACAAAATAGAGGTTCTGCACCCCGGTTAGGATTGCTCAAGCTGATCATGCTATCCTACCTGCTTCTTAAGATTGATATTTAGGCTTAGATTCAATTCTGCTTCACTTTGCTGTGGTAAGGACATGCTAAATCAAACAAATATGGATGGGAAACACTACGTTTATGCATGATTAAAGCCAGATCAATACATTCATAAACAGAAAAATGTTTAGGATTTATTTCATTCATAGTAACAGAATACACATTGGTATAAATATGGTCTTAAACCCATATTTTAACTTGTTGAAACCTGCAGAAACTCTATAATATAATCTTTAGATGTGTGTTTGATGCAGATATAAATATCCCAAAATAGTAAGGCAAAATGCATTTTCTTAGGTGTATCTTTGGTTGGAGTATGCACTATTGTTCTACCCATTTGACACTTAAAAGCCCTACCACAATGTCATCTGTTAAAAGCTCAGAAGCACATGTTGATCCAAGATAACATCGCCTAATCTTCTTTACATTTGGTTCCTTTTATTTTTTCCTGTTTAGTTAAGAAATAAGCTGAGAATATTCTTGTCAAAAGGATGTATAATAATGTTTCATGACTAGGCCAGCAAGTTGTTTGTATTTGTAATTCTAACATGACAAAGGCATGCAAAGGATTAAAAAAACATAGACAGCAACTTGGTGAAACCAATTTACGTTCTGCATATTTTGCTGATCTAATGTGTCTAGGTGAGAATCGTTGAATGCAGACAATAAATGGCTATGTTTACTATGAAAACTCAATATGGCAATATTATAACTCTGCTTTATTCCCATCCTGTTGTCTCCTCTCTTCCAGGCTTCACATTGGCAAAGGGGTTCAGCTGGAGTGTAAGGGGGAGGGGGATGTGTGGGTGCGATGCCTCAGTGACCACGCAGTGTTTGTTCAGAGTTACTACCTGGACAGAGAGGCCGGCCGAGCCCCTGGAGACGCTGTGCACAAAATATACCCCAGCGCTTACATCAAGGTGAGCACATAGTCACTGGACTGTAGAAGGAGGACATCCCTCAAGGCTGTGTGAAAGATCAAACCGTCTTCGTCATTCTGCTCTGACATTGTTTTTTAAGCTGTTTTCCCCATGCTGCCACAGTCTTCATTTCTGCTGGTAGTAGGTACTTGCTGCTGAAGGACATTTGTTAACGTCTCCTCCCTCCGCCAGGTGTTCGACCTCCGTCAGTGCCACAGACAGATGCAGCAGCAGGCCGCCACGGCTCAGGCCGCCGCTGCAGCTCAGGCAGCCGCTGTGGCTGGAAATATACCTGGCCCTGGATCAGTTGGAGGAATTGCTCCAGCTATTAGTAAGAAACTTTACTCTATATATACCGATGCACATTCACACAGACACCGGGCGCTGTACAATAGCTGCCCACTGCTCCTAGTACTAGGATGGGTTAAATGCAGAGGTCAAATGTCACTGTGTGTGCATCTATGTGTGACAATTAAAGAGGGTTTCCTCCTCCGATTCTATCAGGGGGTGGTAAAGGCAGAGTGGGTGGATGTTAACAAGCAGTGAATGGGAGCTATATACTTGCATATGACGCAAACATAGAAATGCTCAATGAAAAATAGTATTTTACATTTTGATTTACCGTAGTTACATTTAGCTAAAAATGTAGTTGAAAGTTTTGCACATTTTCCAGTGATTTTTCTTCTACGGTGTTGTTGTCACAAGTCTTTTAAATCTTAAAAGATTTTTTCCCTATGTCAGAACATCTTGGCCCAAAACCCAGATACTCAGTTGCCTAAAAATTGGGAATTAATTTTCAATTATTCGATTATAATTTTTTCAACTCAAAATAATAGTTATCACTTGAAATCTTCGGTTAATACAATTCACTTGAATCCTATTTTTAAAATGGAATAAATCGTTTTTTTCACACATAAACTTTATCCCACTCACCTGATCTCTCCTCCAGGTCTCTCGGCAGCAGCTGGTATCGGGGTGGATGACCTGCGGAGGCTGTGTATTCTCAGGATGAGTTTTGTTAAGGGCTGGGGTCCCGACTACCCCCGGCAGAGCATCAAGGAGACCCCCTGCTGGATTGAGATCCACCTGCACAGAGCCCTCCAGTTACTGGACGAGGTTCTGCACACTATGCCTATCGCAGACCCTCAACCTCTGGACTGAGATGCGCCCCCACCCCCGCAGCATCACACTGCAGCATACAGCGGCTACGGAGAGTCGTCCTCAGTGAACCGTGTGGAGAATCCAGTGAAACAGCTGTGACACTGTAGCTGTCCCACATGAACAAAATAAACATTCAGGTGTTTTTGAGGTACCTTTGTGCACTGTGGCCCCTACTTTTTTTTCAGCATTAATGACACTACAATTAGCTAAAGCCATATATTAAATAAAGATATGTTGCTCTTTATTTTTGATATATGGCTTTGATTTGTTATGACTGGAAAGATGAGTAGACAGTTACAAAGCAACACATCATGATGATAGATGACCTGAAGATCCCATGAAACTGGAATGTACAGCGACTACTCAGTCCACAACTACTGACAGACATCAGACTCACTGAAGAATGGAAGAACGCCTGAGGGCTGTACAGCTGCGGGATGAGTGTCTGAGCACCAGGAGAGTGCTGCTGGTTTCCATTGTGTCAGACTGCTTCACACCTGTCATGACAAGCTAGTCTGGTCCACGATCAGCCATCCACGAACATCACACAGAATGAAAGGACAAGCGCCATGCCTCAAGCCGACTCACTCTCTGAACTGAAACGAGGTCAAGTCTAGGGGCTTCTCTGTGATTGGTTATGGGTTTTATGGAGGTCCAATGACAAATCTTTTTTATTTCCTCTTCTCAATTAAACAAGACCCCCACTTTCACAAGACAATATTGTCCTTCAGTGGCGTCATGACATGCAAAGTTAAATGGCAATATATCTGTTTTTACCAACTATCTGTGGAAATGTTATTTCTCCACTCACTCAAATATTGTGATGAGAGGAGGCTCATCAATCATTCGCCGTTGGTAAATCTCCACCCTGGTCTCCTCTCACCTGTTTCAGGTATGGTTACTGTTTTGTTAAGTGCCCTGTTATGCTGCCACAAAGGGTGAGTCTCATGCATCTTCTTTTCTCAATTTCACTCTGAGAGCAGCTAGCTTGCTTTTGTTCAGTAAAAGTGGGGGAGAGGCAGACAGCTGGTCTTAGATGTATGAAGTTTGGTAAAAGCAACAAAGTGTATCGATGTTTTGGCAAACCAAAGTATTCATTACTCAGAAGCAGTCTTGTGTGATCATGGATCACAGAGTGGACGTTAATTTGGAAATTAAATTGAATTTTAAAGGGGATTATGTTTGTTTTCTTTTCAATTGTATCTCTCTTTATCTCCAACCATACCCGACACACTCTCCACACAGTTGAGAAATATTGAACTGAAATATCTTATGACTTGCAGCCCGCCTACTTGATCAAGGTCTTGTGTATAGTTTAGTGACACAAATACAAGACAATTTCACAGCAATATTGACTTTTTTTTGGGTTCTATTTTTGTTACTTTATTAACTGATTTGTATTGTAATTTTAGCACTTTAATTTTTTCAAGTTTTTAATTCAATAACCCTAATTTGAGTTGGTTGTCCTGCAATGTGGAAAAGGGAGTGAATAGAGTGGTTTATATTTGATGTAGGATTGTGAAAAGACGCATCTTTGTGTACATTAGTATTAAAAACATGTAACACTAAGTCACATTTTTAAAGACTGTTTTTGCCCTTTCACTCTTACACACATTTGTAGTTTGGAGTTGCATTTAATTTTTTGGATTTGCAGTTTTCTTTCTTTTTTAATCCATAAATATATTTGTTTTTGAAAAATATGTCAATGTCTGTATGATTTTAATGGCAAATAGACACTTTTATATCTAACCCTTTTTTAAATGGAGTACTTCACTTGCCCTGCATTAAAAAGGGAAACTGGAGTGCTGCTGGTTTATGACAAAAGCATTTAAGGCAAACCGAGGGAAGCTACATAGTCATAACTAAGGGGAAATATCCAAATTTAAGAACATAAACTCAAATTGCTGGAACCTAAGCTCCTAAGGAACTCTGAGGCATAATTTGTTTAAATACAATAACTCCATCTAAAATTAGTAGACACATTTTTCTCACAGGTGTGAAGCTAAATTGACACACATAAATAGATATGAAGTAAAGTCCCATCTCATCTGCCCGTGCATCTTTTGTTTTCTTTGGCTTTTTTTCACAGCAAATCGCCCTACAGTAAATCCTGTCTGAACATATGTATCTGACAAGACATTTAAAACATGTATTTGTGTATTTTTCCCTTTGAGCAATGCTGTCTTTGTGCGTTACAGATAAGATGGAAAAAGACACTGCATACTCAGCCGTGGTTTCTTTCCTTTTACTCATCTTTGATAATTCACTATCATTTGAAAAGCATTGTTTTTTTTCAAACAGAACGAATAAGAGTCAGGTTTTTGGATTTATTACCATAATTATGCAACTGATTATTCAGGAAACAGGATATTTTAAGATTATGTTACTGAAAGAAGTGATGCTGAATTATGTCTGGAGAAATAATGTTATGTTTGGTCGTGCTTTAACGGTGGGGTAGGTAATTCACTTCAGAAACCCTTTTTGTTATATGGAATGCTCTTAACATCCCGATAGCAATGAATACATTAAATGCTTTGACAATAAATACATTTTTTTTTTAAATCATCTGTGGAAGCCGTAGTGCTTTAAAAAGCACGACCAATCATTTTAGCCGGCCCGGTGGACAGATGTTTTTATATTACTTGCAGTTATTATAGGAGCCTAAAGACACGGCTCAAAGGAGTTGATGTTGACTACTATGACAGATTGAAGATATACATTTTACCTGTACTTCTTATGTGAGAGTCTTTAATTAAACATGGCCGGATATTCTCTAAATGTTGACCTGTTTATTTTCTATAAAAACACAACATGAAATAAGAAGACATACCCAACATGAAGAGGTTACAGTATTACGTTTTTTTCAAAGATAGATTTTCCTCTTGGGAGCAGGTGGCTCAATTAAACACATCGCACCATTTAATATAATGTTTTATTTTCAAAGAACTGCAACCCACACGTGTTTTCAGTTTTTGCCCAGGTTGAATTTTGTTGGGATTTATGTAGGTCAGTGTACCAAAATACATCTTGGTATGTCATAGCATGAAAAGCACAGCTGTATTAAATGAAATGAAAAGTGCACTCAGTGGAGAGCAGTCCTCCGCCAGGTGTTGTATCTCCATAGTTGTTGACAGTCAAGACAGAAAAATGTAAATAAAAAAGGATTTATTTATCTCAGCGTGAAGTTAGTTTTTGGTTGTTATATTTGACAGACTTTCACTCCATCCAAGAGTTTTCCATTATAAACCTGCTTGAGTATAATGGAAGCCATTGAAACAAAATGTAGACTTTTCAATTAAAAACAACTATAGTCAAAAAATATATTCATACAAAATATAGGTATTACTTTTTAACTTAAGGGGTGTGTGGTCTTTGTTTAGGGTAGTAACACTATCTGGTATTGATTTGGACTCACTGGGTCACATGACATGGAATCTCTTGAACAAAAACTGAAATTATTTATTACATATTTTTTGTTTAATCAATTTATGACTCATTCTGAATAAAATTCAAGTTGTACATTTTAGTTGTTCACCAATTATGGGCACGTTGGCCCAATGCTATTGAAAATATTGTTATTACAATGGTAGTTTATTGATTGACCCCAAGTGAAATCCTGGGGTTTTGCCATCCATTATTCAAATGATGTGGTGTTTAAACACCGTCACAAACCTGAGAAGAGGTCTCGTCGTCAGGCAACAGATTAACGTCTCCTGTATGGGTGGCTACTCACCAGTCCATCATTTCTTTGATCAAATGCTTTTCTGCTGTAAATGAGGTTCAGAATCCCCCTAATTCAATACCACATTGACTTAAGAACAACTTAAAGGTCCCCTATTATACTGTTTTTCATAAATATATTATAGGTCTCAGATATACAAAACATGTCTCTGAAGTGTTCGGCTCCAAATAGACATTTTATTTTGGTTGGAACTGATCAAAACTAGAACCAGGGGCCTGCTTATCAAAAGGGGTTTGCAAGAACAATTTACAAGCAGATAGAAATTATGAAAAGTAAATGTTTATTATTAGGGAAACCTGTCAAAATCAGGTAACAAAGGTGGTGAAATATTCCCCATGTTCATCAAAAGTCTCTGTCAGAATGCAAAACACATTAAAAAAACATTTGACTTAATGAATCACACCAGTCAGACACTTCTTAAAATGAAACCGTCTTTATTAAGTAACTTTAATATCAGAAAAATAAAACTCTTAAATTCTCTTTACAGCAAATATATAATATCAGTGCTTTGGCCGCAATAACTTAAAAGGCCGTTATAAAATATAGTCTGCTTTTAAACTCCTGACTTAATTTGAAGAATTTATATGCCATAAGACTCCTCCGACATATACATAACAAAAGTGTAGTAAAATTAGCAAATACTTTGAACTGTTGGTACAGCTTAACAATATATGTATTTATATATAGATAAACTAAGATAAATTTTACAGTATACCGTTCTTAATTTGGTGGCGTACAGACATGACCGGCAGCTTGAATCCTTGGCCTTTTTACAGTTGCAGTGTTACGTTTTACATTGGCTGTACATGTATATGAACACATGCTCGTGATGCACATTCCATTCTCCACTAAACGGTAGCTATCAATACGATTATCATCAATACTGTAAACTAATAACTAGACTACAAGCAGATAGCATTGACACCCTTCTGCAACATTTCTGGGTTTCCAACTCTTCATTCAATTGATCACTCAGAAAAGTAAAAAAAAAATTAAAATCTTATTGTAAACATTTTAATATAGATATATTTGTGTATATATATGAAATGTAACAAAATAAAAATAAGTTCTGTATATTCATCAGTCATTAACAGTAATATCATATAATACATACACAAAAATGTCAATAAACTGAGGGCTAACAGTGTATTGCATTCCCTCCGAGAGAGAAAGAGAGATCCACCCTTCGTAGAGCTGAGAGAAATAAAATAAAAAGGGACGGCGAGAAGACCCAAGGGGCAAAAGCAGATGGGTTTTTTGCACTTTTGGGACTCCTTCGGTTCCATTTCCTTGAGAAAGCTCATTCACCCATGAAAGATGATATTTAAGAAACGGAAGTATAGAATAACTCACAAATACCGTTTACAGTTGGAATGCTAGACGGACTGCGGTCCAATGTCCAAAAAGTAAAGCAACAGTATTGACCTCCTGTAGTGTCAGTCCCAGATTAAATCATTCCAGCTGGCTCTCCTTCCAAATGTCCCTCAACTCATTTCATCCTGTAAAACTAAGTCTAGAGACACTGGCGTTTAAAGTTAAGATTTGAGATGATTTCCACCTATTTGTACCTTTTTCCATCGCTTTTCAGGAGGAGGAAAAGACAGATGCACATTGAAAGGGGGTGCACAAAGATCTTGTCAAAAGTGTGATAAAATATGAGGAAGGCTGTGCTAACTAGGGCACAAGAGCAACAGCAATTGAGCTGATGAGACAGGTGAAGCATCTCGTCAATGCATTAGAGCTGGTAATGAAAGTTAACGCTGACTGAAAAGTAGAAACTGGTCAAATCAGAAGGGAAAAGTCTGTCT